AATATTACATTCCTGGCTTGTTTCAGAGCAGCTTGCTGAGTCTCAGAAACTAATGTAATCTCAAACATCAGGATCTAAGTTAGATTTGTCATTTAGAAATGATCAACTTAAACACTGGACAGAAAGGTGTCAGCTGATCTGTCAGTATTCCAGGCAGAGTTTTGAATAAGTGTGTGTTTGTCTGATTATATGTGGTTTAAACTCGTACTCATCTCACTTCCAGTTTACTCACCAGGTTTACTGCTGGAATCTGTGGATGCTGCAGGTGTTTGGTCCTGACTAGGTTCATCCTTGACCTCTGAGGTAGTTTTTGACGTCTCTGTGAAGTGACGTAAATGATAAATAAAATATCACAACACTAACAGGTCGAAACGGAAGTGTAGAGCTGCCACCCAGGCAAAAGAAAAATAGAGCAATATCGCGTTTATAAGATAAAAAGTTTATTGTTCTAACAATATACTTTTCATGTTTGCACGATGTTCTATCATGTTATTATAATATGCATAATTATCACGTTGTAACAAAAAACTTTCACGTTCGTACAATTGTACGAACACGATAATTATGTGTATTGTAATAACGTTGTAATAATGTGATCAAACAATTATGTGTGTTTGATCACATAATTTGTTATTCTTTCCCCTGATTTTACCCACCTGCTTCATTTCCATCATCTGCGGACATCAACTCATTTTCATTGTGTATCTGAGGAGCTGTCACTACTGAAAACAGAATCACAGTACATATGAGACACAGCAAACGTTCTGTTCACTTCTAATGAACACAGGAGGCATTTTTGCTCGGCCTGCAGGTCACAGATCCGTCCAGCTAAACCTGCAAATTCTAAGGCTCATACAGGTCAATGCTACGGTCACAGCTTTGATGCTACTTTTTAAAAAAAACAAACAAGTTATACAAGATGAAGTGATTACATGTTGCAAATGTGTTATATGTTATAAAAACATTTTTCTCACCATTGTTGGGTGAATTTAATGCTGGGACCGCAGAGGAAGATGATGTTCCTTGGACTGACAAATCTGGTGTTGGAAGAAATATCAGGACCTTAAGCATCCATCACCTGCTGTCACATTTACTTTATTACTGTTTTTACCCCATTAAATAAGATTTTACTCACCTCTTCCATTACTCTGTATCCCAACCAATTGTACCGTCTCTGTCAGATAATAAATGAAATGTATGTCATGAACAGCACATTAACTGG